TGACTGCAGGGATTTGGGGAGAGGGCTCCAAAATTGGGCCCCGGTTGCAAAGAAACTGGAATCCAAGGCACAGGAGATAGGGCCTGGATAAGGGAACAGGTTATATCTACATGTGTGGGAGGAGGAATGGTGTAAGGGGCTCTCTTTGGCGCCCCAAGCCCTGACACTGGGTGCTCCAGTCTCAGGGCACACCCCACGATCATGACAGGCATTTTGCCTGTAATCAATTACACCTCTGAGCATAGGTGATGTACCCCTAGGATAGCTGGGATAGAAGATTTTAAAGCACTGGACAGATTCCAATTTGATCTGAAAAACAGCAGCTGACTTTCTTTTAACCCTAGATTTGATGGATCTGAACTGTGGCATAAGAAATGCACTCCGTACATGCTCTGGGGCTTGCAAATTTGATGATAAACTCAATCCAATTCCACCCTAGTGGCTTTTTAAACACCAAAGCGCACAATTCCTGGGTATTCTCTGTGGGTGTTTTCGCCTTCTTGGTTCTGGCAAGGCGAAACCCGGTTTGTCATCATTTTGATCACATCTTCCAAAGATGACTTTTTTCAGGCTTTCCTCCTTCATGGCAATGGACAGTTGCTAATAATAAGCTGGTAATTAAAAATTAGCTTTTTGAGGGGCAATGGTGGAAATGCAGCTTGTTTCCTTAACGGCCATTTCTTGTTTCTTTTACAGTGGAGTTTAAGCTGCTTAAGATGCAAAAAGAGTTCAAAGGTCACAGTTGTATGAATTACACAACAGCCAACAGGAAGCACACAGGTAGGAACAGGTAAGAAATGGATTCAGTTCCTATTTTAATGCAAGCTTCACAGATGTCACACCTAGCTAATTTTATGCACTTTCAAATCCACGTGAAATTCTGTTACTCTTTGAAATTTGTACTGCTCCAAATTTTACAACAGGGTTCTGCTATCAAGAAATGCATACACAAATGTGTATATTAGGGATATAGGCACACAAAGGGGTAAAGATTGGTGAAGGTGTTGGTTACCTGCATTATACATCTTACAAAAAAAAGTGTGTATTACACAAAACTGCATACAAATGTGAATTTTCTTATTGTATGTATTTTATGTAATTTAATATTGGGAAAATGAAACACGGGGAAAAACCTGAGATGGCCAGATGCCTCCATCTCGACTCATGAGAAAGACATGAGGATGGTGCATTGTTCTTTAGAGGTAGACTTCCACTGTATGTGGAGGTTCTATTTAGCCATAGTGCTGTTTAATCATGGAATGGTAGATTGGCCACCTCCTTGAATTGGCCCAGTTGCCTTTCAACGCCATTTAAGTCAAGGGCCATCGATCTGCCTCTCCTGGCAGGGAAGGTGCTCAAACCCCGTGATGATTTCGATAGCCCCCTGCAGCACCTTCTCCCAGGAACATTTCTGCTCACTTCTGCTTTCTCCTGCTGCTTCCTCCTCAAAGGCTCGCCAAGCTGAAAACAGGACAGCAATCTAGGACAGGTAGCTCTCCGTCTGCTGGGAAATCACGGTTGATTTATTTCCCAATTGTTTGCAAATCGTATATATTGTATATAAATTTTAGTGTGGGTATCTTTTAATTGTGCTTTTAATTGGTTTCCTTGGGGTTTTTTTTAGCATTTTACTGTAAGCTGCCTAGAAGAGCCATCTGTATTAGCAGGTGGCATCATTCAAAAATAAAGAAATAAATGGCAGTGGCAAAATGAAGCCCTGATCCCTCATCACCACCCTAAATTATAGTGCTGGAAAGGAGTGGGTTTTGGCTAGGAAGGACTGGAATTACTCTATTACTCCATACTGGAATTAACTATTCCATTAATTCTGCTGCCCTGAATAAAATTCCTGGATTCGCCACTTTAGTATGTATTTTGCACCCAGTTCCACTTGGTAGATCTTGGGTTCTTCGCAGGGGCGGGGGACAAGAGTGGAACCCACAGCCCTGATATCTGCCCACCCCTGCCCTAGAGGACCCCTGGGCCACTGCATGCATGGGTTCGTCACATTCTTGGCTTCCTTCATTTTACTTTTACGGGGCGTTTCTAGACCTCATGATCCCAGAAGAAGGCCCCAGAATTGCAGTGAGCATTTGCAGAATAGTCGCACCCCTCAGAAGAAAAGAACCGTGTGGTTTTATGGCCATTTTCTGAAACCGTTGGCTGCCGGCTGATGCGGATTTGGTCCGGCACCTATGTGGGCTTGGTCCGACCGCCTCCCGAGAACCACACGACACCCACGATTTCTGCCTGCAAATATTAAGCCATTCTATTTATTTATTTATAAAAGTTGTATGCCGCCCATTACTTGCGTCTCCGGACGGCTTACAACATAAATCAGAATAAAATAGATGAATGGACGATTCCACGCGGGCCGTAAGCCATCGCACAGTTCGCATTTTTCTGTTGCAAATGGGGCAGCAGTCTGCCAAGCTTGCAGTGCATGGGTCCCGCCGCTGCACGTGCATTGAAAGTGGGGTGGCAGGCAGGGACCCCCCACTCTTCAAACCGCCCTGATCGCGGCCTGCCGGGCAAGAGAGAACGGCCTGGCCTCACGGGGGACCGAACCTGTCGCATGTCCACCTGCCGATGCCACGCGGAGCCGCCTGAGGGAAAGGCGCCCCCCAGAGCGGCAGCCCAGAGGCGGATGGAGGTGAGCGGCCCGCCGGAGCGGCGTCTGCATCGCATTATCGAAGCAAGGCTAAATTTAGGCCCCCGGCTGAGTGCCGAGCCTCTGTTTAGCAGCTCGACTCGGCGTTCTCCTGAATTATTAACTCCGCTTTCTCTCCGCCTGGGCGCACCTGCCGGGAGCCCACGAAGAGCCCCTTCGAATTCCGGCCTGCGGCCACCAGGGCAGCGGAGCGCGCGGAAGGGCGCCGGCGCCCCCGCGCGGCCGCCCGCGGGACTGCGGCCTGGCGCGCTTGCGGGAGCCGGCCGCCTTCTCCGCTGAGCCCGCTGGCCGCTGGCTCGCCCACAGACCCGGGGCCGAGGAGGGGCCCCCGCGGAGCAGGGGAGGCGTGGGCGCGCTGGGCCCGGGGATCCCCACGTTCGCGGGGTGCCAAGAGCGCGGAAGAGCGCCTGTTCTCTGGGGGCGGCTCGGGGTGTGGGCTGTGCCTTTTCCTTGGCGGGGGAAGCTTTCAATGAATAGACGGTAAATGATTGCTGGGGGAATTACCGCACTGCTAATTGGCTTTAGGTCCTCATGCATCAAGATCTTGGGTGCAAAACAGCCTCAGCGGTTCGTTTGAAAGACATGGAGGTGTGAGGTTTACATCATATTTTGCATGCCGTCCTCCACTTTTTCCCTATGCACGTTTGCTGGGGCTTGCAGGTATTATTATTATTATTATTATTATTATTATTATTATTATTATTATTATAACATTATTATAACATTATTATAACATTATTATTATTATAACACAGGTAGGCCTGTTTCTGTCTGAGTTTATGTGGGATTGTGGTCCTAGGAAAGGAAAGAGGCACATGCCAACTGCAAGATGAATGCCCAGAGCACGGTTGTCGTCGTTTTCGATTATTGCCTATCTTTTCGAGTCTCCGCGTCACCCTAAAGAGAGGACAATGTGATCCAAACCTCACAGCTAGCGTGGATTATTAATGCCAGGTTGATGCCTTGCAGCGTCACCACTTTGCTTATTCCACATCTAGGCCAGATGGCCGAATGAGGCGGCGCAGCAACTCCAGATCCTTCTAGAACGGTCACTGTGAAAACCCCTATGGGAATGGCGACGTTGACAAATATGAAGATAAACAGAAATAAAAAGAGCCATCTCTTTTCGATGCAGCCAGAGGATTTGTGGTGCTGTGAGACAGAGGCTGCAGTGGAGGCCATGCGTAAGAACTAAGGTACAGAACAATCCTGGTGGAATTCATCATCGTGAGGCAAAAGCCATTGCCAAGGTATTTTGTCCTCTGAACGGTTCAGAAGTGAATAAATATAGAAGACACTGGCTCTGCTCATGTTCAAGGGCACATTGCCCTGATGCGATTGAAAATATTTATTTTCCTTAGTGGGAAAAGCAAGCTTTCCTGAGGTAATTTTAAAAGGGGGTGCATAACCTCAGTTCAGGAACTAAATGCATCCCCCTGGGAATATGTGTAGTATTTTATTTTTATTCAACCAACTGGTTTCCAAGGCAAGATCAAGAACAATTAACAACTAATACAACTCTGAAAACATAATAAAAAAACCAGCAAGAACAGTGGACTAAAACAATTAGCTGTGCAATTTTGGGGGTGTCTCTACTGAAGTACCATTGAGTTCAAGAAGGTTGACTCCCAGTCATGTGGATACTGGATTGCAGCCCACATTCAGAGTTTAAAAGGCATAGACAAGTTCAACATAACAGCATTTGCCAGACATACCCCTCTAAGGGAGGCATTCTACTCAGCTTACAAGATCTCTGCACATGCTCAGAGACCTTTGGTACAGAGATCATTAGAAGGGGTTCTGCTGCGTGAGGAAACACTCTGCACATGGCTCTGAGACTGCTCAATCTAGAGCTGTTTTAAACAGTTGAAACAGTCTTAGGGGAGTAGCACTCTGCACATTCTCAAAGGCACTTCTGAAGTAATTTAAAAGGCTTCCTTTTGCCTCCTCTGCGCATGCTTGTATACTGAGTGTAAAAAAAAAAAAAAAAAAAGTCTTGCGAGCTGATTGACACGTTCTGTTAGATAGTCCAATCAGATCGCACACTACCCACCAGCTGCTCTCTTATTGGTTCACCGAGCAGCTACCTTATTTATATTGGCTGACACAGGCACCTATCTAATTCGAACTGTTTTCCCCTCCCATTTTAAAGATTCGTGCTTCAACTGCTGTCAATCATAAAACAGACCAGCACCCGATTGGCCGGCCGTGATGTTACCCGCCTCCCGGAGCGCTCCTCTCGCGCCGATTGGCGCGCTGCTAGTCAATCAGGCTTCGTTGAGGGGGCGGGGACAACGCTAGAAGGGGGCGGTGGAGGCAGAGGTGGCCATTTTGGCTCTGCTGTGGTAGTGACAGGAGAGCGGCGAAGAGGGCGCCGAAGTAGGAGCGCCGGCCTCGCCTGGCCCAGCGCTTCGAACTCTCCTTCCTTGGTTCTCCCTGTTTCCCGCGCCCCGTCATGTCTGACACGCTCGGCGGCGACGCCCGTTCTGACGAGACAGGCGAAGAGAAACAGGTGAGGTCTGGGAGGGGGGGAGAGCGCGCTGAATCCGATGCGAGCGTGGGGGAGCAAGGGAATCCTGATTGGTGTAGCGGCCGCCACTCTTCGTAATGCTGCTCTCTGATTGGTTGTGTCCGCATAACGCTTCGTGTGCATTGGCTAGAGCTTTCCAGCTGCACGGCCTTTTCCGGTACTTTAGATCCGTTGGGACCATAGAGATTAGATGTGTTTTGGGGAAGAGACAGGCATACGCAGCCTGAATTTCCGGTTTAAAAAAGCGAGCCCATCGATCTATTCTTTGTCATTTCTATGATTTAAAGCCCCGTAGCCTTTAAGATGGGAAAATAAAGGGTAGCAATCCAGTTCTCTTTGAGGCTGGAACTGCTGAGATGGTGAGTAAGTTTAGACCTTTGTTCTATCGATTTTATACCAGCCCCCCCCCCCATCTGGTTCCCCCTATCTATATTGGACTGTAACTCTCATCATTCCCGGCCAATGCATGATGGGTGGTGTAGTCCACTTGGACTGTAGCCCCATGCCATGGGGGGGGGAGGGGAGCTGTGGACGAATAACACACTGGGGCTTTCTATGGGAAGAATTCTAAAATGGGCATCGTGTGTAAGGGTGTGGGCATAGTTTTCTGAGCAGAGGGTACTGAGAGTATTCTGGCATTTTTAATGTTCTTGAGCTTCAGGATTGAATCCATGGTGAGAGCTATTCATCAGGCAGAAAGAAAAGAGGTAGCAACAACATCACAAGAAGTTGAATAACGCGTTTTGCTGTTCTCTGTTACAACGTATTTTACGTAATATTATTGGTTCTCCGGTGGAATGGAAGACCTTGTAAGGTGCTGTAGGGTAGGATCCACACTTAGATTTTAGTGAGATGACTCTTTGCCCCATTAGCCTCTGCATATTGATAAAATGCAGCAAGCCTGGGGCAATCAAGCTTGGGTTTCTGCATGAAAGGCCCCAGGTTGAGGAAGGCTGTATTAGAGAAATTGTGTAAGTTCAAAGCTGTAAGGGTTCATGACTGGAAGATGTTGCATAAAACCTGGGGCTCATGTTGATAGCCCAGGTTTCTGCTCTTTTTCGTAGGAAATGTTTAGTTTTGGACACAAGAGGCAGCTGTGCTAGGGCAGCATTGTGTCCATCTACAGGGAAGAAAAGGGTGCATCTAATTCGCCACAGTTCTGAGAAGTGTACCTTCTAACATTGTTCAGGGCAAGGAGGGAGCTGAGCATACAAAACCTGCGTTAAGCAGAGTTGCACCCTTGCTCCACTCATGTCTGTGAAACTGTATGCATTAGCTTGGGAGTAGCTCCGTGAGTTTTCTAGCTGGCTGGAGGTTAATTCTCTGGCATTGCTCTCTGGCCCCTTTCTGGTTTGCCATCACTAGAGAACAGAATTCTGGGACCCGAAGCGGAAACAAGCAGCTTGCCAAAAGATAGGCTACAGTGTTCTGGAAGAGCTTGAGTAAGGACTTGCTTTCTCCTTCTGATATCAAGCTTCAGCAAACCCACAAAGTTTCAGCAGAGATCCGGATCTCAGTAGGTGGCTAGGATTCCAGTCCTTGCAACCAGAGGGTTAAAGGTGGGAGTGGGGGCACCTGATGTGGCATGCCACGCTCGAGTTGCTCATTTGCCCCAGATCAGTGGCTCGGGCGTGGCATCCATGCCAAGCTTGGGGTGGCTTTGTGGAGGGCCGAACGAAGCTCATGAGTGTCGCATGGCAGCATTTCAGGGAGTGAGAGTTGCTGATAGGGCATCCAGCCTGACTGAAGCAGAACTATCAGCCAGTCCCTGTTCCACGGATACTCAAGTGGTCAGAATCTGACTGGATGAGGACGAGGGCACAGTTAGACTGTAGGAAGCTGAACTGGCTCTGTTTAAGAGAAAGTAAGGCTCCTGATCCCATTTATAGGAGCATTTTGACCATGTGCTGCTCTCTCACACAAAATAAAAGATTTGGTCAGATTTCATGTTCTCCAAGCTCCTTGGACAACTCAGTGTAGGCACCTTGAGAGCATCCCTCTCTTGATGGCTGCCCAGGGCCTTCTGCGTGGAACCTGTCATATTTTTTCCAGTCTTGTGCAAGGACCATAACAGGGGTGGCATTTGGCGTGGGCGTTTGCATCATTTCTCAGCTTTTGCGCCTTTCTTAAACCCAAATTTCTAGCCATGGTGGATGTGGAGAAAAGTTCAGGAACGCGTGACAGTTCGTGACAGTGGCTCAGAAACTGGAAGCCGGGGGCCAGTGGCTAGGAATAGTACTGACAGTGTGATCTTCTCTCTGCTACTGCTAAAACTTGGTACTAACCAGTGAAATGGGACCGGCAGTAATTTATTGACACAGAAAGATACTTCTTCATACAACACCTGTTTGACTTGGAGACGTTTGAGGGGATGGTCATGAGGTTACGTCTGGGTCTTTGAACACTGGCGGGCTGAATGGATGGAGCTTCCGGGTTCAGGGACTGTTTGTTCTTCTGTTCTCACAAAAGCGAAAATCTTTTGTAAACCCCGGCTTTTGGGGATAGGCGCTGTTACCCAAAGAGCGGCGTGACTGCAGATTTATTTCTGAAGTGTGTAGAATCGCTGCACTCAGGCAGAAGTGGCCGGGACAAGCAGCCCTCTCTGGCAGCTTAGAATTCGAAAGCTCTGCTGGCACACCCAGGGCCAGAGGCTTGCAGAGACAGGGCAGCACTGCCTGGCAGTGCTAAAAACACATCCTCTGTCATCCCGTGTCATTCCTCCATGCAAGCATGGTTCGTCCTCTTTCTCTTTTGCCTTACGTTTTAGTTTTTTCCCTGAGTCATCTGCTTTTTCGGAACACTGCCTCCATTATAGTGAGCTGCCCAGGCACTGCCCTGTGACGGAGCTGTTCAGCCATTTCCCAGAGAAGGGTTGTCCTCCTGGATCTTTGCCTCGTTTCGGCTGCAGCTTAAAGGGAGGAGACCTTTCTGGCTTTAAAGATAGTTCCAGACATCCAGTTCTAGGCACACATGTTTAGTCAAGGGCATTCAGCTGTCCTCGTTCTCATCTTTTGGGGTACAGAGCCCCCCTCTCCACTGGTTGAAAGGCAAGGATGTCATGGGGTGCCAGCGGGCCTGTAGTGCTGTTGGGAAGAGGCATGAGAGATGGTGGGGGAGTGTCTGGGCCAAGCAGGCAGCAAAGGCCTGTATGTGTGTTGGACTGTGCAGGTGGGCTGGCCCCCCGCCAGATGTTGGATCATCCTTGTTAGGAAACCATCCAAGGTGAGCTGGGCTTGTTCATCCACTGGGTTTCATGGCTGATGGCGGGATTTGTTCCTGCTTGTGTTTGCCTGGCACTGACACGGACCTTTTGGGGGTGCCCGCTGAAGACATACTTAGCTCCCATGCCGCTCGGGTGCCATGATTCCGTGATTATTTTTGGCCCTGTTGTTGTCAGCTGCTTTTGTGCTTTTCATTTAAGGCAGGCTCGGAAGATGGTGTCCCTTGCTATTTTGGGTCCCACTTTTATTATGGCCATTTGTAGTATGCCGGTTACGTTTTCTCGTACGTTAACTACGAGTGCCTGTACTTGTGCATTTAAATCACAGTGGGAAATGAAGCTTATTTGTAATAATAATAATAATAACAACACATTATTTGCCGTGGTCTCTGCCGGGGGGTGTGGAAGGGAACCCCCCAGCCTGCTGTGTCCCTTGGAGTTTTGCTCAAAACCAGAATTCCAGTCAGCTTGTCCTTGGCAGCAGGGTCTCTGGTCTGAGCTCTGCGGATCTTGGTTCCCCAGAATTAGCTTATGGGACTCAGCACCAAGTGGAGAGAAGAGCATGACAGGAACCTTCTTCACGGAAGTGTCGAGAGACTGGGCCAGCACATGGGCAGGATAATGCCCCTCGCCCTTCAGAAACGATCGCTGAATAGCAAATAGCAAGCTTGAGAGAGAATGTGCTAAGCTTTGGGTCTTCATGACAGTCAAACCTTTTCAAAGCGACACTGTGTTGTTCTAAGACAACAAAGGTGTCAAGTTGCAAAGCTCTGTTGGTTGCTTCCTCCCACCCCCAAGTGTAGGTCCTCTTTCATATAGGTTCTGTCATGGAACTGGGCTGGACCAGCCTTCCTGAACTTGGGTGCCCTGCAAATACATCGGATCACACCTCTTGTCGGCCTCACTGGGTGGGAGTTGCTGCTGCTGCTGCAGTGGCACATCTGCCTGTGTCATCCCAGAGTATCCAGGCAGGTGCCGACAAATTTGCTCGGCAGCTGTCTGCTAGGCAGGTGTGCTCACAGACTCACAGTTGTCTTCAAAGCTGGTGCAGGTGTTGGGGTGAGCTGGGTGTGTTGGATGTGGGGTAGCCGGATCAGTGGTTGGAAATGCCCCAGGCATGCCAGTCTGAAAATAGTTTTGGCTGCTCTGATTGGCAGCTGATGCCCAAGGAAGAGCCTTCTGGCCCAGAGGTCTCGGTCTGTGGTGGCCAGGCAGCAGCAGCCTGTGAAAGAGGCATGAGCTCAGCGGTCCTGCCTGCTTAGATCCCCCTCCCTCCCTCTCCCTTGACTGGGGCAGAGCAGGTGTGTTCGACCAGAGTGGAGCTGATGAGAAACCAGGCTCGGTATCGGGCCTGTATGATGCGTCTTCATCTCACCCTTTCCTGAAAGAGCCAAACTCTCTGAGGTTGGTTGGGCTGAGAACGTGGGATTGGCCCAGAGTGAAAGGGGCAGAACCCTGTTTTGAGCTCAACTCTTTAATCTGACTGTGTTGGTTGGGGATGATGGTAGTCGCTGTCCATCCATCTGGGTGGTGCTGGTTTGGGGGAAGGCTGATGGGACCACTCAGTAACATGGGGCGGCTCCCGTCATTCATTCTTCTCCTGAACAAACTTAAGTGGACGCACATCTCTCGGGCAGACTGCATTCTCATGGACACCTTTGCTCTTAGGGATGTACCCGCACCAGGAAAGTGGGGTGGAAGGGTTAATGTAGCTCTCTAGTATGGCTGTAACTCTTGCCTTCTCTGCAAACCTTGGTTTACTCATTGAGGACCAGCATCACAAACAGGCTTCATTATACCCTCTTGTCCACTTTCGAAAGGAAATTTTGCCCCTCTTCCCTTACTGGGAGAGTCTGAGCATGATCTGTGCTTCCATGCTTCCAGTTCTCCTGCAACCCCGTCTTGCAGATGGGGAACTGAGTCATCTTCTCTGCTCTCCCAGTTCAACAACAGCAACAAAAAAACCTTCTAATTCCTTATTTTCATTTAACGTCTTGCGGGCACAGATGTCTGCTGTGGGTAACACTAACTGCCTTTCTCCTCATAGCAGCTCACTAGCCCACACTTTCTGTGGGGATATGCAAGAAGGTGGTATTTAGGGTTGGCCATCTTCGCTTTGGATCATGTGTAAAATAATTTCCATTTGCACAGGATTAAGTGGTTTGAATTCGGCTCTAGAGTTCTTATTTCTTGCACCTTTTTTTCCAGGATACACAAGAGAAGGAAGCAGCCATCCCCGAGAAAGCAGAGGAGGCAAAACTAAAAGCCAAATATCCAAGCTTAGGACTTCAGAAGCCTGGGGGTTCTGACTTCTTAATGAAAAGACTCCAGAAAGGGGTAGGTGTGCTCCAGGAAACTCCTTTCAAAGGCTCTGGGCCTGAGGGTAATGATTCCAGTGGGCGGCAGGATGGGGGGCGTTCAGTCTGGGACTGGTGTTGGCTACTTGCAGAACTAGAAGCAGAGCCTCTTGAAGACGAGGCTACTAAATGCAGGAGAACAGTGCTGGGGAGATCTGTGTCGGGTTGTGGGGGAGATGCTGCTACATGGGGCATCTTTGCGTCATCCAAGCAGGCCCCTTCTCCAAAGCTAGCATTCGCTCTGGTTCATTCGTTCGATTGGGCCCGTGTTGCACATTCCTTCAGAACATCCGCAGGGCAGTTCTCCTGTATGAGGCTGCAAATGTGCCCTGCACTCCGGAAGCCTCGGCTGTAAGCATTGCAGCTGATCGCACTCTCAGGAAAGGCAGTGACTCATCAGGAGAGAGAGGGAGCAGAACCATCATGCAAGCGGTTGCTATGCAACCACACAAGTCCCCTAATGTTTTGGGGGTCTGGGTGCTCCCTCCCACTCTTCCCAGCAATCATGCTGTGGTAGCGTGGGACAGTTTGGCCAGCCCCTGCCTGTTGCCAGTCTCTCTCTAAAAAGTTATTTGCATTTCTCCCCCTCCCCTGCTCTCTGCCTCCCTTTCAGCAAAAATACTTTGACTCTGGAGATTACAACATGGCCAAAGCAAAAATCAAGAACAAACAGCTACCGACTGCAGGGACGGACAAGAACCTGGTGACAGGCGATCATATCCCCACACCACAAGATCTTCCACAGAGGAAATCCTCCCTCGTCACCAGCAAGCTGGCAGGGTAACCTGCCCTCCTGATGGGTTTTTTCCCTGTTTTTGTTTTTCGGGTATTTTGGTTTTTATTTTTTATTTGTCAAACTGATTGAACTTTGCTGTATCATAGGGCTGGGACACACAGAACTCACATAAGCTATCGGAAGTCTTTGTGGCTGAAACCTGAAGCCAAGACAGGGACTCGTTTTGCAGAACTGACTTGCGTTTCCTTGCAGCCGGCACTGAGCAGGGTTGTGTATGGATCCCTCTGGGTTAAAGTCTGTTTTCCTTTAGCGTGCTGTTGCTTTTCCTTACAAGGCAGAGGAAAGCCACAAGTCCGCCAGTGTGGGAGCCAGCCTGCTAGCAACCGAGGGAGCCTAAGAACAAATTACGCTTTTAATCATAGGAGTAGGACTTAATATTTATAAAGCTCGGATGTGGGGAGTAACTAGCACTTCAGAGGCACGGCTGTACCCCGCATCAGTGTTTTTATCCCCAAATGGCTTGGGACGTGGGGAGTGCTGAGGCCCAGAAAGGGAGGGACTCGGTAACAGCACACGGCAGAGATCCAAACCAAATCCGGGAGCTCTTGTACTGCATCACTGTGGCAGTTCTTGTAGGAGCGGCTCTGGCTTAGCTCCAGGACCCATACAGCCCGGCATCCTTTCCCCTCCCAGTGGCCCAGCAGATGCCTCCCGGAAGCCATGAGCAGGGGGTGAGGGTCAGTGGACTCCTTGCCCAGCACATGGTGCTCAGAAGTAGCTTCTGAGACACAGCTTCCCCTGAGCGCTCCTGGCAGTTAGTAGCTAGGGGCTGTCGCTCCTCCCGGGAGGGGGTCTGCCCCGCTCTGAACCTTCTCTCAGGTGGAGGTGCTGCAGTGTAGTGGGCGGGGCTGCACAGAGGCCCCTGGAGCACGGGGCAGGCAGGAAGCAGGTCTCCAGGTGAGCGGCAGAGCGCTCCTCTGCCTTCCTCCCCCTTCAGGCACAGGGTGGGAGGGGCACAAGGAGGCATAGCCTGTACCTGCTTTCCACCCAGCCCCAGGGAGGGCCTGCACCCGCACTTGGAGGCCCCCAAACCTGGTGCCCCCCCGATGTGTTGGACTGCAGCTCCCAACCCTTCTGCGGGCTGTACAGGATGTAAGACCACAGGCAGATTAAATCGCTTTTATTATGCGAAATGTTCTCAAAATTTCACCAGACTCTTCAGCTGCCTATAGATTGGCCCCATACCTCCTTGCAGACCACAAACATCTTGCGGCCAGATGCCAACACTACAGTTTTTGCCCAGTTATGGCCATTGCTTGCCACAGGGGCTGATGATTTGCTGGCCAGGCAAATACAGAGGTCTGCTCATTATTTTCCCCTCTCCACGTCAGTCTAAGCTGGTCAGTTTTGTCCCCTAGATAGCATATGGAGGCCGGTTGGACAGCAGTTTGTGAAGCTGAGCTGGGCCCACCGGCCTGTATTTGAAAATAATAACACTCTGTGCCAAGAAAAGCAGGGATCTCCATTGTGGGTCAGTCATAAGAACTGCAGAACCACCTGGATTCTCAGTCCTCTGATGACTGGGTGGGAGAAATCTTAGTTGACCATCCATTGCTTGGCTTCTGTTGTTGCAGGAAAATATTGCCCTTTCCTTTTAAGCTTATTTTCCTAGCCTTGAGGACTAGGACCTTGATTTTCTTCTCAGCTGCACAGTGGAATTCTCAGGATGCTGAATTATGCCACCACTTCCCATTACTGCCCTGTACAATATACAGGCCATGAGACGGACATTCAGAGGGAAGCCTGACACCAGTTTTGTTCTTTAAGCTTCAGTTTTAATTGACTTTGTTATTGCTTAAAAATAAATATATATCTGACACAGCCCCCATCGATAAAATAGCTGCTATGCCCAAAGAAGGCAGACTAGATTGATCTTTGAGAAGAAGGCATAGGAAAGATAACGATGATTAGTACAATGCAGTCGCTTGGGATTTAGGGGGTGGGGTAGCAGTTGTAGACGGTCCCCCAGCACACATCTTAAGGCATGATCTCTGCAAGTTTAGACAGAAAAAAGCCTGCAGCTGCTCGCATGTGCCATCCCGCATAGCCTTCGAAGAGATGGCGCCTTTAAAGGGTACGTGTCACGTAGGAAAAGCCGGTCCTTTTCAGCATAATTCTGGATATTCTAAGAGTGCGTTTGGCTTTGTAGTTGCCTGCACCGTGGTGCTTCAGTGGGCCGAAGCCGGGCCTTGGAGGCGCATGTCGTATCGATCTTTCTTCATTAGCCGAGTGTGGCCGTGACATTGAAGCCGCTTCCCGGTTCCTTTCGCCCTTTCTCGCACTTAGTGGATTGCCAGATCAAGAGCTCTTAGTGCCTTAACAGGGAGGCATCGTCACTGAGGATCTTAAAAGTGGGTTGCTAGCACTGACACCTGCCATCAGATTTGGACACGTTTCTGCTGCAGTTGTCACTTCGCTCGGCACCCTGGAAGTAGGAATACTTTAAGAATGGCTTCTGCTGCAGCAGTACATAGGGCCCTGCCGTTTGCTTCCCTCCAGGGCACTGATTTGGCCGAACGGTGGTTGGCTGGGCAGAAGCATTAGTTTGGCCTTGTTCTCATAGAACTGAACTGCTGAATTTGAAAGGCGGGATTGTGATTGCTGTTGGATACTTGGTGTTTGCCTTTTGAGGTGGTCTGTGAAAGTTCTCTAGCCAGAGTCTTGAATGGGATGGGAGCAGCTCGTATGAGCGTGCTCAAGGCATTTTGTTCCCCGAGATGAGCCACGGAAGGATGCGCTTCTGCTCTGCCACCCTCCCACCTGGATTAATTGGTTAGGGTCGCTCTTCTCACCAGCCTAGTGTTGCGCGCTCAAGGAAATTCTGCAGCTAAAGATGAGGGAGACTATATTCCATGTTCGCTTGGAATCCGTGCAGCCCCCGCGCTCGGTGATTTGCTCCTCAGCTGTCCCCCCTCCCACTGCCTAAGGAGCAGCGAAATCCCAGCAGGTCGGCCACTTGTTGGCCTTGATTCTTCCACCTTTCCCAAGGTTGCTCCCCGGTTCCTCTGGGCTTGGAATGTGCTAGGTTTGTGTCTGTGCTTGGCTCTGGCTCCTCCGTGCTCCTGGGCTGTGGACTGAACTGAAGTTTTCAGAGCGTTTAGGCAGACTTAGGCTAGAGGTACCAGAGGAAGGAGCAAGGTTTTCGCCATGTCTGGATATGTGATTTTGTTTTTTAAAATTTGCCGAGCCCAGTCCAAATAGCCGGGTTTGTACGTTTTTAAGGAGGGGGTCACAGCCCTGCGGTCGCTTCAAACGCCACGTGGGCCATCGCGTCATGGCTTGTGTTTACCACTGCATGGAAAGGCCCAGGAAGGAGCCCGGCCTCTGCGCTCGGCCTTCCACACCTGCCTCTGCAGCTCTGTTCCCACGGTTCCTCTTCGTCGCCCCGCTCAGGCTGCGCCTCGCTGGGCTGGGCCGGCCATCGCGCCTGACGCAACAGGCTTCCCGGGCCAGGTTACGAAACCAGCATGGGAATCCGGGGCGGGGAGCACTTCCCCTGCCCCGTGCTTTTGTGTGCAGGAGCAGCCCTGCCTCCCCACAGGCATCCCAAGCCGGCTGGCACTTGGGAAAGGAAGGGCTGTGCGTGTGTGAGCAGAGGAGGGCAGGCCTGTCCCTGCCTCGTGAGTGGGGAGCCTCTCCTTCTCAGTGGCGACTGGCAGGAGAGCCACTGGGCATGGGCCCAAGTCGAGGTGCGAGGCTGCCAGGAGTCTTCTGCAAGCACGGCAGCACTTCTGAGCGCCAGATGAGCCCTCTTCGTTTAGGCGGATGCGGCAGAGCAGCTTCCCACGAGCTCCGTTGTTGGGGAGCTGGGGCGTGCGGGGAGGGTGCTGCTTTCTAAGTTCCTTTTAGCACCAGGCTCTGATGTTCTTGACCCTGAGAGGGGAAAAGGCAGGGTGTAAATACAGTAAACACACAGATAAATCAGCTTTGACTGCTGGCACACAATACTGAGATTGATCAACAGGTTAACTCCCAGTTATTCACATAATAATTACAAAAGCACTAGCTTGCTGTTCTCCGTTGTTCCGGATCGCAGTGCTACCTTCCCTCTTCCTCTTCAGGTGTTACTGCAGCTGTTCCTTCTATCATATTAGAGCAGGCTTCCCCCGGACCCACCAGCTCCGTTGAACCCACAGCTCCCATCATCCCCAGCCACGTGGATGGTGAGAACTGTTGTCCAGCAACCCAAGGGGTATCAGGCGAGGGAAAGCCGCATGAGAATATCCTGTTGCGCAGCTGTCCCTTCCTCGCCCGCCCCATCTTACCTTTCCTGTGAGGCCTTCAGAACGGGTTATTTTTGTCGGCGGGGTCTTTCTCGGTTTCCTTCTCCGGGCACTTTTGCAAAGCTCCTCTCTGCCCCTCAGGAGGCACCGGTCATTCTCCAAAACCCTCTTCCAGCCAGCCTGTACCCTAGGAGCCTGCACACTCTCCTTAACTGATTTTGCTGTTTGTCCCAGCCATATCTGTAAATAGATAAGAATCATATATATAAATATATATATAATTTTTTACATCAGCTTCATCTCTATCTTGTAGTGTTTGCTTTTTTCAGAAAAACGGAAAACCCAAAAAAACCCACCCCCAGAAAATCCCAACAATGCCCGCAGACCCCCCTGCACTTCACTGACCGTCTTTTCGACTCTTCTGCTAGGCGTCCACACCACAAGCTCGGATCTGAAAGCTGCTCTTGTGGGTGAGGCGGTGGATTTGGGGTGCTCCGATGTTTCGTTTGGGTGTGGGGCAATCCCAGATTGTGTGCTATGATTCCGGAAGGGGAACGGAGAGCTCTGGGTGTGAAAATTTGAGTGTGATGATTGATGCTTGGAAATAAAGTAGCCCTTGGTCTCAATCCGTCGTCGTGCCCTTTCCTGTGGTTTTGCTCGGCACAGACCCTGTTTGCATGCGCCTCTTGACTCCTGGGAGTACTTTGCTTCGGCGTTTGCTCCAGCGGCATGCCCACCCGGGTCTGTTCAAGAGTCCACTGCTCTGGACTCCCAGTGAGGAGACCATTACAGCTGCTTTTGGCTCCAACACAACGGAAGGGTAAAAACGCCCTCCCTTCTACGGTAGCTTATCAAACAACATTCAGTGTAGGGTAAAATGACCGACAGCCCATTGTAAAGCTTATCCCTAATAAAATGAAGAGCCAGCTGCACGTATTTCCACCTTCACATGGCCTGTGCGCACCTCGGGTAGAGACGGGCTCTGGCAGGGATTTCTTAGACGAGCACCCAAGGCTGTGGCCCCGTCCTTACTCTTCCCCTTGGGAACTCGCAGACAGGTGGGGGCTGCAGCAGGGCCTCGCCTAGAGACCGCTCCGTCCTTTTGGGGGGTATCTCTCAGACGTGATGCCCAAACAAGACCTTTGTGTGTAGGAAGGCTGGGCTGCAGCTCACCCCTGTGCGTGCAGAGCTGGGATTTGCGGTTGTGTAAGAAGAGGAAAGGGCATCTGGAAAGCTGGTGTGGGTCAGGGCAAAGTGAGGCATTGCAGGTAACACTGCGTGTTTGCGAAGGCTGTGTCCAGAAAGAATCCTCCGGAAAGCTAGGGCATTAAGATGGGGCAGGTCCTCCTTGGCCCAGGCCAGCCCCCCCCCCCCGAGCCCCCAGCCCCAGATGTCCGAAAGGGAATCAAGCCGCCGCATGCCGTCTGCAGAGCGTGATGGCTGTCCAAAGCAGGTGCGCGGTGCAAATTGCGCAGCGTGCCGCAGAGCTAACTGAATCCCGGCTCGATGGCTGGACGTGCCAGGATGTGGCCCTGGGGGGAGGACCACCCCCAGCGGGCCAGATTTGGGCTGCAGGCTGAGGTTCAACAGCCCTGTCCTAAATGGCGTGGATCGATTTGTAACTCTCAAATACTGCAGTTGCAATCCCGAAGGGATGCTGTGGCACCGCCAGGCCATGTGGAGCCAGGGTTCTTCCCCGCGGCCTTGCAAAGAAATCCGGGGAGGAAGGCAAGCGGCCATTGTACTTCTCCCTGCACCCAGCAGAGGGCGAAAGCGCTCGCCTTCTGGAGCTGCAGCCGCTGCCGCTCCCAAAGGCAGCCAGACCCTTTGCATTGTCCACCGTTGAGGTCACTGTTCTGTCTGGGCAGTGCGGGGATGAAAGGGCAGAGTGCAGATGCCGACAGGAGCTGCTCCGCAGGCCAGATTTTCATTCCTAGGACGGATGAGTCACATGGCTAGATGGGGAGATAACGCCTGATCTTGACTCTCCTGCTGTCTGAGGAAAAGCTTTTCGTGCACACGGAACCATATGAAATGCCCAGGCATTTCGGGGTTCCTTTGCTGACCTTTCCTGATGGTGCTCCAGGCAGTCAAGCAGCAGCTAGCTGTGCCTGCGGAAGTGCGCACCAAGCCCAGGCTGGTGGGTGGGGGTTTGCTGAGTCTTGCTTGTCCCCACCTGCGGGCAAACCTGCTAGCAGGATTCGCTTTACCTGTCCCATTGAGATCCTCGCAAGAGCAATCGAGTCTTCAGCTCCACTGGATGCAACATTCAAAGCTGGGGTGGAGGATGTCATTCTAAGAGCTCTCCATCTGTTGTTGCAGTGAAAGAGAAGAAGAGTCTTTCTCTAATCTGACTACAAATCCCTAAATAACTCGAATGGAGTTGTTGCACTTGATTCACACCGGCTGGGAAATTTCCACCGCTCCCCCACATCACTAGAAGCATGCAAATCTTTTCCCTAAGCCTGTTGTGTATAGTGTCAGCAATTGCATTTTTAGAAGCGGGGCCCGCAGAGCAACCTGCTGTGTGTGTTTTAAAAACAAACCTCCTCTGTTTGCCTCCAAAGGCTTAATGGCTGTTTTCTTTCCCCCAAGCTGCTTTCTCGGACCCCGAGAGTGTGTCACAGCACCCTTGACCAGTGCAGTGTGCAGAAGGGAGGAGGAGACGGGTGGGGTGGGGGGGTCGAAGCTTCGAAGGCTTGCGAACCAGACGGCTGGATCCGATGCAGCGGGACGGTTGCTTGCCCATGGATGGAGGGTGGGGGGGAGAGAAGTCAGATCTTGCCTGCCCTCTCTCCCTCACGGAAGGAGAATCCCAGATAAGCAAGAGGAATTGGCTCAAAGCATGAGCTGGATTACTCAACCTTTGGCCCACGGAGCTCATTTAAAATTGCCAGCTTACTTTTTGAACTGTGTGTCTGTATCTCGCTATGAATTTGCTCTGTCTGGAGCTCTCTCGAGTCTCATGAGGCATGCTGATATATTTATTGTTGTTTTTTATTTCATTTTATTTTCATTTCTTTACCCACTCCACAGCCATAGCTGTCTGAGCAGTAAAAGGCACTTCCTATGCTACAAAAATAGAATAAAATGTGATATCACCAGCATAAAATTTAAAACAGAGTTTAGAACCATTTGACCTAAAACAAGCTAGATACAATTAGATGTGTGCGGGGGGGAGAGATGGAGGCCCTGCATGTGCCTGGCGAAGAGAGCCGTTTAACCCAGTACCAGAAGGATAACAGAACTGGTGCCTGGTGAGCCTCAGTGAGAAGATCACTCCATAACCGGGGCTGCCAGTGAGAAGGCCCTCTCCCTTCTTGCCACATTCGGAGCCTCCCTTGGAAGACGCTCTCAGGTGCTGAGCGTAGTGTCTGGCAGATTTGGGGTGGTGCTCCAACAGGTATTGTGGTCTGGAGGTGTAGCTCTGGATTCCTCAGGAGAGGCACCATCGCTCAGCCACAGAGCCTCTGCTTGGCATGCAGGAGGTCAGGTCAGAACCCGGCGTCCCCTCCTAGGGCAGGAAAGCTGCTGTTTACAAACCCTGGGCAGCCTTTCCTGCCCGTCCGACTTGACTGTACTTGTTGAACCTCTGCCTCTGACATGGATCCTGAAAGTTGTAAAGCGGGCTAAAATGTGGAGGGACACGGTGCATTGTCTTTCAGGTGCTGCTCGACCCCTGCCATGCGAGTGGCAGGAAAGAAGTCCATACAAGGCAAGGCAGGAAAAGCTGCTCTCCTTCCTCCCCTGCCCTGATTACGGGCAACACTTTGAAATGAGCATTTTGAGAAATGAAACCCTGCAGTGCAATGGACAGCTCAGCTCTTCATATGTCAGCTGAATGCAAAGCATCCCCCCACCCCCGCCCAGTGGGACTTGCGCTCGGGTAAGTGTGTAGGATTTCAGTCAAAGTGAAACCCATAATATGGTTCCTCTCAGTAGGTGTTGCGTTGCATTAAAGTTCAAGCTTGCATGAAAGTGAAACGTGCCTGTAAGGTGGGGGTGGGGGGGTTTCCATTCCCTTGCTTAGTATGGGAAGCACGCTGCCTCCGAAACCAGGCCTCGAGGTGTCAGACCCCAGCACGCTCTGCCTGGTCCCGCTCTGTGTGTATCCCTTTGCCTGTTCCACCAAGTCCTCTCGTCCCCCCCAAAAGCTGCAGAGTCCAGCCCTGAAGAAAGCGGCTTTGGGAGCAGGGAAAGGGCTGTTATCACAAACTTTCCCTTCATTGTGCCTTTGCTCTGGTGACTCCAAGCCCCTAGATAGCGGTGATGGAATGCATTTATTTATTTATTATTTATTAAAACATTTCTATGCCGCCGCTTGCCGAAGCCTCGGGGCGGCTCACAGCACAGAATACAATAAAATACAAAAATAACAATATAAAACGAACAATATAAAATAAATAACAATATAAAAGAAGTCCAAGGCCAGCCTTACGGGATGCCCCAAGCTTCTAACTGTGCAAATCGGAGCGCTTAAAAAGCAAAAAGGGGATCCAGTGATACCCCCACTCTGGCAGGAATAATGGGGCATCCCATGGTCCCTTAAAGGCTAAGGAATTTGTGGAAACAGAGGCTTGAAATGCACTCATCCAAGTTAAGTCGCTAATAGAAAGGAACTTAATGCAAGACGGCACTCGACAGCTGCAAGCACTCTCAGTGCCTTATCTGTGAAGGACAGTCAGCTATTTTTCTGGTCCTTGACCCTAGCAAACCACTCTCTCTATTTTTGTGTTTGTCTTTTGGGGATGATAAAACACCAAGCGCGAGCCGTTACAGGATTCCACCCCTGTCCCCACACGGTTTGAAGTGAACATCCCTGGAAAGGGGAGGGTAGCAGCAGCGTCTCCCTCGTGCGCCTGGCTGTCTCCGCATGTGCGCGAGCACTCAGGCACGCTGCCACTTCACCTCCTGCAGCTGCTTGGGTTTATTTTGAATTCTTGAGCATCTGTTGCAGAACGCTTTCCTTGTAGGATACTTTAACCGAAAGAACCAATGCCCTCATGGGTTCCAAATGCACCTTAACCCGACCTTCCTGGTGCCCTCCACCCACTTTGGACCGCAAATCCCAGCAACCGCAGCCATTTGCAGGAATGACGGGCGTTGTAGTGCAACCCCATCTGGGAGGCAGCGTGGTGCTGGGCTGCTTCTCCAGATCTGAGTCTCGTGCATAGTTCTGTGCCTGCTCAACCTGCACATGATTCGGTCTGGAGCAAAGCGAGGTGGGGTCACATTTCCGAAGGTCCCTTATATCACAGGCTTGCAAGCAAACACTTCACACCAGCCACCACAGCAGAGCGGGAAGCAGGCGGCGCAGCCCTTCTCCCCCGAAGGATGCCCTTTTGTGGACTTGAGGCTCTCCCCAGAAGCGAGCTGTCCTCCGCAGAAGCTTCTCCCACAGCGAATCTGCGCCGCTTCAGCTGAGCGGTGGAATGTGCGGCCCTTTGGTTGTTGGGGGGCCGCAGCTGCCCTCAGGCTTGGCCAGCAAGTGAGGGTGATGCAGGCCGACAGCATCCACTGGCCCCCTTCCCCCCCTTGAACACGCAGGCGCCGCACTCGAGATGTGGCTCGAATTCAGAGGCGGGGCTTAGCGGGCAAAGAGGGTCAGGGATGTGGAAACCGAGTCCAAGGAGGCGGGGGTGAGGGAATGGGGCCCGGGTGGCTAGAGGAGGCTCCGAGTGGGGAGGACATGAGGGTCCTCTTCTCAGGAGAGGGTTTGAGAGAAGGTGGGCCACGTCCTCCTCGCTTCCCCAGAGCACAGGGCTAGAACGGACGGGCTTCCAGTAGGGAGGGGAGCTTTCATTTGCATGTTGGGGGAAACTCTGGTGCCGAGGTCGGTTAAGCGGCGGAGGCAAATCTACGAGGGATCCCCCGCACCAGGCGGCCTTCAGCGCAGCACCCCCTGGCCCTGCGTTTCCTCGCTGAGTGAGCCAGCCGCCCAGAAGGCCTGCAGGCCCCCAGTGCTCTTTCTGTGCCTCAAGGTTTTGCTCCTGCAGGACGCAATCCATTATCAGTGCATCCCAAACCAGATACTGAAGCTTTCGCTTCCTGGAGACAAGATAGAAACATAGAGACAGAGTGAGTCGGGGGCGGGGGGATCTCCCGGGCCATCTAGTCTGACTCTGCTCACGACATGCCCACCATGGGCATGTCTAGCCTATTCAGATGAGAATTGCCTCCCAGCACCAAAGGAGGACATGGCCGGCCTGCCTGCCTTCCTTCCTGCCTGCCTTCCTCTTTTCCGGCAAACTAGTAGCTAATTCAGTTAGCTTTAGACTTGCAGACTAGTTTAAAGAGGACAAGCCAAGCGTTGTCCCCTAAGCCAAGGCTGACCCATTCCTGAGAAAATCTCAGCGTACAGATGATTCCAGAGTCCAGTCATCATGCACGGGGGTCTAGGGCCAGATTAGCCAAATAGGCTTCGGGACAGAGACCGGCCAAACTGACACCTCCAGTGGGAAGCAGGTCCGATAACTTAGAATCTAAGCTACAGATCGTGGGGGTGGAGAGATGGCCGAGATCGCGCCCGTCTTTCCTGTTCAAGCGCAACAGCGCTTTCGGCCATCTCTCCCCGCCGCCAGCACGATCGCGCCCGTCTCCTCCCTCGAGCGCACCCGTCTCTCCCCACCCCAGCGTACCCGTGATCGCGCCCATCTCCCCCCCCCCCAGCACGCCGGGATGACAGGCGCGTGCAGGGGTGGTGGGTGTGATTGCGGTCATGCGGGGGGGGCGGGGGGAGAGATGGCCACGATCTTTGTTGTTCTTTGTCACTTTGCTGCAAATTTTTCTGATAAAAAAAATAGTCACAGGCCGGATTAACCTTATTTACATTGACCCTTATGGGGAAATTTAACTTGGCTCATGACCAATTTGGGTCACGACCAGAGTCCTGGAACGGATGAAGTTGGTGAGCCGAGGTGCCTCTGTATGGGGAAGGTGAGAAGGTGCGACTCCCCACCCGCAGCATAGATAAATCGGCGTGGCAGAAGTTCTTGCCTTTCCGGTCCACGCCCAGGACAAGCTGAACATTCTCCCACGAGCAGCCTATTGTGCTTGGTCAAAGATCACCTGTGACATCCCCAGAAGTGGCATTCGGCGTGGACGTCACCCTTTTTGTAAATGCCTCATCAGTGAGTCAGCTGTAAATTTTGACCGGAAAGAGTTCGTGAGGGTGTTACTAACCAGTTGATTGGGTTTTGTTTCTCATTTTTCAGTGTCATACCAATGGGAAAAGACTTGCTCCATTTAATCATTCAGGAACTGGGACTTGAATACTCGGGGTGGGCCAGGGAGTTGTAACCCCGTTCACCTTTCCAAGAGCAGCCCAAGACACCAGTACCCAAAACTCTCAGGGCAGTTTTCAGCAAACATCTCAAATGTTTCTTTGCTACCCTATGAATCAGAAATTCGCTCTACCTTCTGTTGATGCAATGTCAGATTCATAAGCAGCTGCTTTTAAAATCCAGAATGGTGTTTTCCTCCTGTTGGTGGGGTGGTGGTGGAGAAACAGGGCCATCTGATGCTTTCACAATTGTTTTGCGAATCCATTCGCCTTGTTCCCAAAATAGAAATACGAAATTATGATTGGCAGTGCCTCAGCTTAGGCAAGTGGCGGCATCATCTCTGACACATGAATACAGCATGTACTTATTAGTGTGTGTTGGTGCTTGTTTTTCCTGTTCTCCAGACACTCTCCCACAATTATGCATTCTCAAATGACCTGTTAAAAGCGATTACATCAGGACAGGCTCTTTCAAAGACACCTTGGGAGTCTGCTGTCTCATTTTCCTCCTCGCCTTTTGGTGACTTGTGAGCACAAAACTGAGTGGATGTTCCTTTAACAGGGGCATGGGAGTCGGTCTTAGGAGGAGGGTCTTACTGACACATCGGTCTCGCCTCTAGATGCATTATGGAGCCTGGATCCCCAATCTTTTCGGCTTGGTGGGCACATTTGCAATTGAGGATGCATCTCATCAGCCTTCTATCAGGGTCTTCAACCACATGGGTAAAACCCGATCTTGTTTCGCCCACTGAAACCTGTCTTCCCAAACTTGGTAGAAAATAAGTATCCTGTAATTGTATTCATCTTTGTTGGTGTATATCTTTTTTAAGATGCTGTGCTGCTTTAAAAACACTGGACATGGTCCAGGTAGTTTGCTCAACTTCTGTAAATGTATGGTTTCAACATACCTTTATGGAAACATCTATTGATTACTATGCCTAACAAGGAATTACTAGGTCTTTGGAGAAGGCTGCTTCACTGAAGCTTTTGGATGTGTCAGCCCGTGCCTTGGCCATTCATTTTAGCAGTCTGAGGGGGAGATGGAAAAAGAGCACTGACACTGAGTAGCCAGTCAGGAAGAGCCATCGCCACAATACGGTGATGTAGGCCTTTGGTCCTTTCCTGCCGTTGGTTTTGCAGCCTGGAGAGCAGCTGGTGGCCCTTCGTAGGCTGGATTTGGCCCTGGGAGGCTCCCCGGGTTAGCTCCAGAAATCTGGATGTAACAGTACAGCAAAAGTTGCTTAAGGTACATTCTAGACATTTTTTGACAGAATTCCCAGCATTGCCCGGCCAGCACGGATTGAGTTGTACCCTTAATCCGCTAACCCTTCCCCCTTTTTAACCTCTTCAACACCTGGTTCAAAAAGCCCATAGTGGTTGTTTCTTAGAGAACTGGTTGTCTATTTGCATGCCTGCTTCGGCAGAGCCAGCTGATACCTTTGCAAGAAAGTCAGCTGTGGAGGTTGCATAACATCGCACATCAGTTCCTGCAAAGCGATGACACCCTGCTGCACTGCAGAAAGCCACACGCAGCAAGATCTCGCTTGCAAAACAACCGCAACTGATAATTCCTCGGGATGATGCTCAGAGGGGCAGTCAATATTTTTCCGTGAAAGCCAGCTCAGCTTCTGGACACATGCCCGGCGATGTGATGTCTATGTCAGGGCTGGTACCTCCAACCTGTGGAGCAGACCGCACCCTCCTGCACGCTCAGTCGAGCTCTCGGGGCCTTCTGGAATAGCCATGCAACTTCCCTGCCGCATACTGCCCTTCTCCAGGCCATCTGGATTCCTCCCGGTTTTTCCTGTTGTGAAGAGATGAAATGGCTCTCCAAAGGGAGAAGTGACAGTCACCAGCCAGCACTGGCTGCAGGCCAGGGAGGCTCTCTGGATTTGAATCGGGCCCTTGGGCTTTGCGCCTCCGAAGCTTTTGTGGGACATGGCGCCCCTCAGTGGGTGCGAAAGCAGAGGCTCTCCCCTGGGGTGTGTTCGTTCCTATGAAGGGCCTACCCAGAATGGCAGGAACAGCTAGTCCTTCGCAAGCAGCTGTTGAGTGCTAGACTGTCTTTGGACTCGGGGGTTCCACTCAGCCATCGGAACTAACAGCTTTTGCTAGACACCTTTCTCCAGGAATGTGTCTGATCTGCTTTTCAACCCGTCAGAGCCCAGGGCAACCAGCTCATCTTGTGGCAGTCATCTGCTCCAGGCATGTCCAGACCAGATTAGTCCCCTTCCACTGTGTTGGTTCCTCTAAAAGTTAAACAGAAGTTGCTTCCCTTGCTACACCCCGCCCGTCAGTTTGGGGATTTTGCAATTATTGCAAATGGGTCAGGCAGAGGAGGGGAAGGGCCAAACAACCCTGATTTAGGGGCAATATTTAGTTCCCCCCTTGCTTTTTTTATATGGAGCTGGTAGATCTAGCCCAGAGGTGGCTGTTCTTCCCCCGTGCTTGGCCGCCTGCTCCTTTCAGCTGGGGGCGCCCACGTACATCCTACCGGGAGAATAGCCTCTGATCGGCTTCGCATCACTTCTCCAACCTGTTGGCATTGTGATGTGTCATGACGATGGTCCCTTTCACTGGGCTGAGTCAGCAAGGCCTACAGGATGATGGGAGTTGCGTCGCAGGCCATCTGGGAGACACGGGCCAGGCCAAGCTCCACTGGGGGCTCTGCTTTGGGGCCACGGCTTTCTGCCCCTCTGGCCGGGCACCTGCTGCTCTGAGTGGCAGGATCTTTCTCCCTTCTAATGCCCCAAGCGGCTCCTTGAAGCAGCCCCTGTGCTTCTTAGCGCTAGAACCACCCCAGGGATGCTTGAATGTGCTCTTCACGGAGATGGTTTTATCTTCTGCTTTAAAAAAAAACCCATTTCATGATCTGACAGCCGGAATGTTCTCTTCTCTGCTTTCTCCCCCCCGCCCCCGCCTTTCCTCTTTCCCCACCCAGCTTTCCTGGTAACATTACATAAGAACCTTTCCGCCCACATTTTCCAGTCATGAATCACGCCTGGAATTTTTCGCTGAATTTTTCCACCGCTGAGCGCTTCCCCGTCTGCGCCGCCCCGTCCAGCCCCTTCCACCACCAGCTTCCTGTTTTTCTTCGAGACCCTCTTTCCTTCGCCGCCGCCCCCCCCCGAGAAATAAATAAGCGCCCCTGCCCCCCCTCGCAGCCTCGCCGCCCCCGCTGGGCCCACCCTTCTCCCCCGAGGGCAGGGCACGGGGCACGTCAATCAGCTGAGCGCAACTTTCCCCGCCCTCGGGCCCTTCAGTTCCTCTCCTTCGGGCTTTTGCAGTGCAGATACGTGAAATGACCGTGTGAACTCCCTTGAGCAATTTCAGTGCATCGCTCTCACCTCCCGCCCCCCCCCCGGCCGCTTCTCCTAGGGCGGAAGGGGGTGCTAATCGTCGAAGCCCACCGGGAAAGCCCACTTTATTCGGCTGGCTGCGGCAAAGCAGCCGATCTCCTTCCCTTCACCCCAAAAGTTTCCAGTAAAGGGAACTTGCAGCTCTTTCTAAGCCAAGACTATGTGAGAGGAAGAGATTCGCGATTCGGGCTAGGCTCAGGCTGCAGCCCTGAACACCCCCGGGATGAGCTCTATGGGATTCAGTGAGGCTTGCTCCTACGGCGGTAAGTTGCCAGGCGGCCCAGCAAGTCCTAACCGGGACATGGTCCTGGGCATAGGCAGAAAAAAGGGTTTTTTTAAAAAAAACCTGAACAGAAATAGTATTGCACTATTAGTCATGATGTCGTCAAAGCATGTAGAGCAGCTGCAGCTCCCAGGCCAGGCTGCACAGGGCTGAAGCCCCAGGCGTTCAACTAATGGGTCGGCTCTGCTGGCACCTGCCGGCTGGGCAGGGGGCAGCTGGACTGGCGCTTGCGGACCGGCCGTCCGCTCCAGCCTGGGCCCGGCAACGCTCGCCCTGCCATTTGAAGCGCAGCCTCCATTAGAGGGCTGCCCCGAGCCGTTCTCCCTTCGCCGCCTCGCTTCCCCATTCGGCAGTGGGGGGAACCGCGCAGGGCGACAGCGCAGGGCCGGCGCAAGCCCCCCTCTCGACTCCCAGCCTCAAGGTTTAGCGCCAGCCTGCACGGCGCAGGCGGCCTGGCCTGCCCCCCGCGGAATGCGGCGAAGAACTATTTCCAGCGCTTTCTTCACGCCGCGGGTTTCGTAGCGGTTCGCCCGCGTTCAGAGCCAAGTCGGAAAAGACCCCCGCCCCCCCCTCGGCCGCCCTTTCTGCGGGGAGCGCGGGGCGCCCCCCACGGGCCTGAGCGGAACTCGCCGCGCGCGCCGCCGCCGCCGCCGGGGGGAGCGGGACGGGACGGGCCACCCTGCGCGCTCGCGCGTCCGCGGCCAATCCGCGCGCCGGCGCTGCCAGGCTGGCGGCCCCGCGGGCGCGTGACGTCGCCGTGACGCCCGCGCCGCCGCGTATAAAGAGGCTCGGCCGGGCGGCGGCCACTCCCCTCAACGGCTGCGCGACGGTCTCCTGGCTCGCCGAGCTGCGAGATGGCCGCCATGTTGAACACGAAGGCGATGGTGCTGTACTGCGGAAGCGCCCCGGCGTCGCCGCCGGTGGGGGCGGCGGGCGGCGGCGGGGAGGGAGCCGGCCCCGCGCTGAGCCGGCTCCCCGAGGGCCTCGGCGCGCGCGCGGGCCGGCTCCCC